CAGCGGGGAGGATGAGATTACCCCTTGTTGTAACATTCATCTGTAAAACAATGGCAGTTAGAAAAAGGGAAACCCAGCAGAGTAAGTACTGAGAAAATGAGAACAGGAGCAATTAGCTTTAATTTTGCCTCATTTTGAGAATGCCAGAGATTGCCTTTGGTTGGCGGCTTTAGTGTTTCTCCTTTTCTCCAGTAGATTACAGACCATGTCGGTACCCTGTGAGGGTACTTACCTGCCCTATGCCAGCCAGCTGCCTTTCCATCCTTGCTTGGTAAATTAACTGGATTGAACCTTTTACATCTCTTGCTCTGGGGCAGGCTGTCCTTGGATTTTGTGTCTCTCTTCTGCAGCTCCTCTCATTTTTGACATCTTTTTAAAAATATAGACACTGGTGTTAGGATATTGGCCTTTTAAAATGCTTGCTCTAGTGGAATCACATTGTCAGGGGAGACCTGGCAGCGAGCAGCTGGTTACAAGTAAGGGGTCCAAGCAGTTGTGTACAGAGTTGTCTCCCAGTTATAGATCTCTCTCCTTCAGTTTATTGTAGTAATTCAGCCCTGACTAAGATGCCTAGGACTCCTCCGCTGAACCCATGAATAACACAGCTGGAACTGTACGGCGTTACAGTGTCAGTCTCAACAACGCTGCCCAGAAAGGGAAAATCACTGCCTTTTACTATACTCCAAGTTCTTTTCCTATGCCTCCAAGGATCGCACTAGCACCTTGTGTCTGACCATTATTCACAGTTCATGTCCAGTCAACTGTTGACTGTGACTCCTAAACTCTTATCAGAACCACTGGTTTTCAGGTCGTGGTTTCCTTTGTACCTGGTTGCACTAAAGCAGGGGTTGGCAATGTTTTGGGGCAGAGTGCCAAAAATACCTGTGACCTTGACTTGCAGGATTTTGGCATGCCAGGAGTGAATGAGGCGGGGAAGCCATGAAGGGCCCAATCCCTGTTGTGGCAGCCCAGCCTCAGCCCCTTCCCTGAGGCACGTGTGCCAAGCAAAATGCCTTTGCGTGCCATGTCTGGCACATGTGCCAGGGGTTGCCTACCCCTGCACTGAAGTGATGTTGCGTTTGAATGAGCACCATTTCCCAAGTCATCCAGACTGCTTTCCAGGTCTGCCCTGTCCTCATAATTAATGATCTATTACTCCATGAACACTTGCATCATCTGCAGATTTTATCAGCACTAATTTTTATCCTGACTTCCATACCTTTGATAAAAAGAATGAAGAGCATTTGGTCTCATGCTAATCCTCAAGGGAACCTAGCATAGACATGCCTATTTGATGCCTTGCTAAACTGACGGCTGTTTTTGAGACTGGTCAGGTGGTTCCTAATCCACGTAGCGCGTGCTTCACTAGGAGTGCTGCAATTCCTAATCAGTATGTCCTGTGCTACAAAGCCAAATGCCTTGAAAGAGTCTAAAGTGCCAACTACCTCTTAACTGCCAGACTTGGGCAACACATAAAGGGAACTGTCTACACGAGGTCAGGACCACCCCAGAGAGCACTTCATAGGGCACATCTACATGAGGTGTATACTGCAGAGTTGACGAATTATCACAGAATTATAGGAAATCATAGAATTAGCTCCACAGTACAGTATCACTGTCAACACATGAGCCCCTATTAGGCTAGAGTGAACTAATTAACTTCATGATAGGATAGTGCTGCCCAACACAGGCACTATCCTACTGCAGAGTTATTTATTCCACTGCAATGCATGTGTACACACTGATGGGACTGGCTGGGGCATGTGGGTGCCCCAGTGTGGGGTTTGCCGAGCCAGGAGGTGGCCAAGGGAGGGGAGCAGCAGCTCTGGGCCCCCTTCCAATGTGTTGCAGTCCTGGGTTACGTGTAAACGCTGTACCTGGAAGCAATAAACTCTGGTGCAAACTGTGCCAGTTTATTGCATCACACTAATACCACATGTAGATGTGCCCACAGTGAGGAACCCTGCATCTACTCTGCACATGGTGGCTCCTGAAATGGCAGATAGCCACCTGAGTAAGGTACTGGGTTTATGCCCATAACCTTGTGTGAAAGATTGCATACTGGCATATGCTGGGTTATGGCTGAAGATTCATTCTTTGGGATACTCTCAGGCTGGTAAATCTCAGACTTGTTGACTGTAGCAGATGGTTCATAAACCTACACCAGTTTCCCATTAACAGCGGTACTGCTTTCGTGATGGAGGACTTCACATGGAGGTGCAGTTTCTTAAGTCAAATCCTGCTGATGACCCATAATGGCCTGGGGTGGACCTTTCCAAGAGCACCAACCCTGCTGGAATATGAGGTCTGAAATACCAAGATGACCTTTCATGCTCTCTCAAAGAACTGCCTGTGTGTCTTAACGGTGGTTGCAGAGTTGCTCAGGGGCTATTCAAGCATGCAAAATGAAGGGCATGCCTTGGTGCATGAAGAAGCAGTATCCTGCTAAGGATGATGCTTATTGGGGCAAGTATTCTTGTGCTAACTTTAGTAAGCTAAATAAGTACAGAGCATCATAGGTGTCCACATGGTCCTGGCACTGGACCATATTAACCAGTTAAGGTTTGGGGTTTCAAATCCAGAGGCATTGGCCTGCTTTGTTCTCAGGCAAAATGCCATTGCTAAAAGTCTTTGAACCTCTCATTAAAGATGCAGTAAAGCAAGATACAGGTGAAGCTTTGAAATGCAATGTTATTAAGGCCTTGATTTTAGCAACATAAAGTATTCCCTTTCCCCCTAGCTGGAGAGAGCCTGCATAGAAAAACAAAATAAAAGCCTTGTTTGCTGGCTTTTTAAATGGCATTGAACATGGTAATAACTGTCCTTTCTGGGGAAAGAAGAGGAAGTTTGTTGAGATAGAGCAGAACTGGTGTTGATGCTGTCACTGGAGACTGACCCTGCTCCCCTGCATTCAAAAATAAGATTAACACAGACAAATGAGGAAAGAAAGGAGAGACAAGGAAAATTATGAACATAATCCTATCAGCTACTCTGAGAGCCAGCCAATTCTTACTGGCCTTGAGCTCTTTAAGACCTTGTTTTTAGCTGAAGTTTCAGACTGATACTTCTCTCATTAATGTGTAATCTAGGGCTGTCAAATGATTAAGAAATCATTTGAGTGCGAATAGTTGCATGATTCAAAAAATTAGTCGCATTGAATCACGATTTTAATCACACGACTAAAACCTCAAAATTATGTGCAGTGAAACTTCAAAATTATGCAAATACGCAGGGACTTTGGGTGGGTGTTGAGTGTGGGTGTGGGGGGAATTCGTGAAGGTGTGTGTGTAGGGTCAGGAGTGGGGGGGGTCCTCACATGCCCTGGCAGGATGCAGGGCACTGTGGGTCAGGAGTGAGGGGCAGCAGCTGGGCTGGGGCGGCTGTGGCTTGGGAGTGAGGGGCAGACATACACACACACACACACACACACACACAAATTACCGCAAGAACCAATTAATGCATTAATTGCGCACATTAACTGAGATTAATTGACAACCTAGTATAATCTTAACAGTCTTTGGGTGGCATCAGGAGGCCTTCTTTGCTCAGACTCACTCCAATTCTAACTTTTACTAACTTCTACAGTCTCATGAAACAGCTTCGCGCTATCTTGGAGAGCTCTGGGTATGAGCCCAAGCCCATCAGTCTGAGTACTGAATGCTTGAATGACTCAAAAATAAGTTTGGACTCAAAAAAAAAGTTGAGTAAGAGAGGCTGTCTTGCCAAACCAAAATTGCTTGCCAAAATATGTTGTTTTCAAAGAAAAAAAAATATTGAGAAGGGGTCTTATATGTCAGATATGAGGTTTAGCTGAGAAAGCTAAATAGTCAGCTAAGATGCAGGAGATTTAGGTTCTCATTATTGCTCGGTTAACACCAAGGACTTGACTTTGGCTTTGCCATAATGCCAATAAATCCCCTAAACACAAGGTCTGCTGGGATTCATGTAAAGCAAGACTAACACTTTTCTGGCCAGGCCTTGTAAATGCTGGAGTTAGTAGTGAGAGTCTTCATTAGCTTGCCTTCATGGCGTCATTCGAGTGAGGTAGATACTGCATAAAATCTGATATTCCTTGTCCAAATAACTTTAGAAATAAAGCTTTAAATATTAGTCCCCGAAAGACTGTGTAAGGTAAAAAAAATGTAATTTAACAATATATCTTTTCTCTGTTCCTAGGAAAGTCATAATTGCCACTTATTTGTAAATTATTCCTTCACTGTTCAGTGGCCTGGTATAAATACGTTCTATTTCATTTAAATAGCCTGCTTTTTTCCCCCCAATAAAATTTAGCAAATTCAAAGGACCAGTAAAGCAGCATCCCAGGTCTTGTGGTGTGTCTTCTGAACAAGTTCAGAAATATTGAGAATATGACTTACACCTGCCCTTTGAACACTAATTGCAATAAAACAGAATGGGAATGGTTGTCAGACTCTGACTTTGAGCTTCTCTTTTTTCTTAGAGACACTAATCTTATCTTCATCAATATGCCTGCTGCCAATAGGAGGCTTGGAGTTGCTTCTTTTTAATTAAAAAAAAAAAAAATTCTCACTTGAGCTTCCAGATACCCCAGGACATGTTTTATTGGGTCATTACTTCATGTCTTGGGTGCTGTCTCATCCCCTCGGGTCACCTGATGAATAGCCCTGTGAACGATGCAGTATGTAATTGTCATTAAATATGGCATTTTGTTCCTAACTTGATCTTGCTAATTCTTTTGGAAAGCATTTGCTGAAGACCCCTGTTTTTGGCAACATATCTTTGTGTGCTTGCTGTAACCCTTTCCTAAAGATCCTAAAGAATGGGTCACTCCATGTGAACAAGAACAGCTTAGTTAAAGCAGAAACCAAAATGACTGCAAAACATGGCCATTTGGAGCTGTGTGCTATCTTAGGGAAGCTGGTTTAACCCCACCTGGGAGTAGTTAGTTGCCTCCCAGGTGGTAGCTTGCAAAGCACCTGATCATTAAATAAAAGGTCAGCAAGCATCTCAATTGAGAGGCAGATTTCTAGGGCGTAGGTAGGTGTCTGGAGGGGACTTAAAGCCAGGAAGTAGGATCTAGTTTCTCTGTTGGTGGATGGAGGACTGCCATGGTTTTGAAAAGCAGTTTCCTTCCCTGCCAGTGTTAGGTGCTGGGACTAATGCTGTTGCATTGCCTGCCAGCATGGAAAGCCTCTGCAGAGGGATACCTATAAGCACATACTTACATGCTTATTGAGCTGGGAGCTTTTAGTATGTATGCATTGCAGACCCAAGGCAGTGCTGGAGCATGCGCTCCAGCGATCTCCTGGTTTGAGATGGTAAAATAGATGATGCTTCAAAGGTTTCAAATAAAACCTAGATGTGCATGAGGTTCTGCTATCTTATTGCATAAATAAGAGGCAATTAAACAGCCACCCCACACTGGTTTTGCTGTTGAACTGCTGCATGGAGTACAATTGGGGTGCAATGGCTGCAAGTTGGGTAGCGCTTCAGCCCTCTCCCTAGGCCTGACCATATGGAGACTATCTCCTGAAACTGAAATTGGGCCCTTTTAAACCTCAACTTTCATTCCCTGCTTGACCCTCCATGCCCTTTATTTCCTAACTAGTCAACAGCATCTAACCCTTCTAGCAAGGTGTCTGCTGGCCCACGTAGATGCAATGTATTGCACAGGGCTTTGTTTTGGACAGCTGCAATCTCAACGTTGACCCTTCTGAGCCTAAATATTTCAGAAAAAATCCATTTGAAGGAAAAAGTTGTTAATTTCCCAACTTTTCTCCCAACTTGCATGTTGAAATTTTGATGAAAAATATAGCTCTCTTTTGAAACCAGGTTTGAATGTGTTTAGTTTGCACCGCCAGCTGAAGCAGTGAGTTAGTCTGGCTAGTTTTAGTCTTCCACAAATTATGGCATGCGTGTGTGAGGCATCTATGACGGGGACAGTTTCATTAAACTTCTCATGGAACAATCTATCTAAGCTTCCAATTGTATCTAAGTATCCCTAGAAATCCCATCATTTTAACAGGGCAAGGTCATGAATTAGCAATAGGATCAGCATTCGTGCTTGCATTTACTGGAAGAACAAGTTTTAAACTCTAATTATATGCTGTTAACAGGGGTCTCATCTCAAATCAATTCCTGCTTAGCTTGGGGGTTTCAGGAGTCTCTAAACTTCAGACCAAAGGTAAGCTATTTCCACAATACAATCAATACCGTGCAGCTTGTTTTGTCTTTGGGAAATGTTCCTGATTATATATTGGAGAAGGCCACCTTTTCCCCTGGATTTAACCTGTAGTGTTTTGCAGGAGGGTCTACTTATGCAGCTGCTTTTGATTAATCTACATTTCTCCTTTTTTGACTTTGATATATAACGATTGCTCTTCTAGCGAGTCCCTCTGTGTTAGACCATGTAAATAGGGCTGTCTGGCTAGGGCTATGCAAATGCATGGGGTTACGTGAGACCCATCATGGAGTACGCATCTTAATATTATTTTATTAGTTCAGCTATGTCTCAGTAGGAATGTTAATATAAAACATCTGCACTTTGCTGAATAAATAGCATTTATTTGACATTCAAATAATTTTCCAGAAATAAGACATTATTTTGAATTAGAAACATCCCTGAATCTCTCTTTATTTTTTCTGCTGATGGATATTTGTGCTGGAGGGACACGGAGATGTTCTTGTTTGCATTTGATATTTCTGAAGATGATGGTCGCTGGGGCCAATGGATGCATTTAAAAAATGCCTTTTGTTCTAGGATACAGATGATTCCATTTTGTAACCATTAATTTTATTATTCTAACAATGGAAGTAAGATCCCTTTCCAATTTAAGCAGAAAGGGTAGGTGCCGGTGTTCATCTGACGTCAGGCAGGGCAGGGTCGCGCCTTATTGGAGACTAGCTGGTTCAGAGGCATGAGCTTACACACGTGACAGCTTGCTTCATCAGATTCTCCATTTAAGTAGTTTTTTTTTAACGGAATTATATTTAATTAGGGGAAATATATTTAATACTTTTCTTGTTGCCACAAAGGCTTGGAATAGCTGTGGCTCTTTAATGTTTGCTGTTTGAATGGCATTCGGGTCTATTTATTCTCATTAGACTCTCTGAAAGCTCTCATAAATTGAACGTTGTATTCTGCCCTGGTTTAGTCTCCAGATGTCTTATCCATTGCATAACATCCAGCACTATGATCTGATTTACTTCTTAATTACTGGAATATATTGATTTACATACAAAGGGTGTATTTAGGTGCTGCAGATTTTCATGGTGCAATCAGTGTGTGCATGGATTTAAATTTGTTTCACATGCAGAAGATTGTTGTTGTTTTTTTTTCCTTTAATGTGAGCCCTTCAATTCCTGCCATTATTACTGCTATTGACTGCCTGAGGTTCTTGCTAAGGACTGAAAATCAATTATTAGTCAAAGGCAATACATATTGCTGCTTCCTCCAGAGATGGGATTTCCTTTTGGATGGTAGCTGATTTATTTGGGGAACATTGTTCCCTTCCAAAGCTGCATAATTTTCACTCTGCTGACATTGATTGGTTTTTAACCAGGCTGCAACGGGTTGGCAGCAAAACCACCAAGTGTCACTATATTTATTCTTCAAGGGTCCTTTGACTCAGAATGGCCATTTCCCAGCGTCATTTGGTTTACTTATTGTCTCTGATGCAACCGGGGGGACCATCCCATGTTTGCAGTCTAGTGCTCCCTGAATTTATTAGATCAGTTCTCAAGCTTTTTGGACACAAGGCACCCCCTCCATTTTTGTGAATTGAATAGGATCCTATTTTCAAAATTAATGTATATCTTACAGTGCCTACTTCCTTGTGGAGATACTGGCTAGTGAGGTGAGGGATGGGCCTGGCAGGGACAAGACTTATCCTGAGCTTATCCGCTCATCTCCTCATACCTTGCAATTTCAAAGCATCTCACGGGCACCCCAGGGTGCTGTGACACCTTGGTTGAGAATCGCTGTATTAGAGCCTTAATACTTCTTATAAAGACAAGTACAAAAAGCAGCATTAAGTTGCATTTTGTAGCTTAATTTATACAAGCCTCTTTTTTGCCATTTGTTTCAGTGGTTGCTTTCCTCCTTGTGTTACGTAGCTGTGGTACAGTATAAAATAATGCAATTGAATATTATTTAGGGCTATACATCCTTGTAGTAACATTTCTGGAATAGAAAGCACCCTTCGCTATGTGTGTTTCCTTTTGCACTGGAAAGTTGCATATAGACTTCTTGTTCAGGAGCAACTGGAGCTGGTCAGAAAAGGATTTAGTTGGATTTTTTTAAAGCTAAAGCTAGCCAGGCTTCCACTAGGAACTATTTTTAACTGATTTGGAACAAAAAAAAGTAAAGGTTGTTATACATAAAGAATTTTGCAAAATTTTAAAGATAATATATTGTGATTTAGCTTTTCACTTAAAAACCATTTCCTCCAAATTCCAACTTTTCCATGAACAATCTAAGAAAAAGGAGTTTTCAGAATTAGTGTTTTCCCATAAAACTTGTTTCAATTATACAGTGTCAGGACAGGAGTGAGGCAAGCCCACTTTGCCTAAAAAAGTTAACACAATCTAAATGCAGCTGTTGCCATTGCACTGCAGTGGTTGCCTCCTGAAACCTAGTAAAATAAGGCATCAACCACAAAAAAAGGACACCTTTTGATGATCACCTTCTGCTCTTCCAAACCACATCCACCTGCAGTTTGGCTGCTCAGGAAAAGGGGAGATCATTCCAGTATTTTCTGGCATGAAAACTGTGTAAACATGTTCCCGTGTAGTACCCTAATACTATACTCTCCATTTTTATGTATGCGACATGCAGCTTACATGTGCAACAAGGATGAAATGAAGGGATTCAACTCTGGGAGAAATGCTGAAAAAATTCAGATAGCCTAATAATGTAAAGAATACTTTCAAGCTTGATATTGAACTGCATGTCACCTGTCTTTTTTTTTTGTTGAGAATGCTGCTTTTGGGAAAAGTTAAGCCTTACTTACCTGTGCAACCAAGAAATGAGTTAAACATGCTAAGATGGTCCCTTCCATCACACAAACTTGCTCTGAGATTAATTTACACTTTGCAAATATGTGTGGGTACCAGTTTCGATTTATTTTTTAATTAGACTTTACATTAAATGGGTGTAACTTGTGTACAGAGCAGACCTTATCATTCAAACTGGGTGCTCACATCTGTCTGTTGTTGGCCTGTCAGTCCAGGTGATTTGCGACCCTTTTGCTTGCCTACCAGGTCTTGCCCCCAGCTATACGTCTCCTCATTTCCCCCGTGCACACCACATCCTCTCTGTGCTCTCCCCAGTGCTTGCATGGCTCGTCCTGGCAAGGAGAAGTAAATGATGGCTGGATCAGGTGTTTGCAGCCAGGGGAAATCCCATGAGCAAGAGAGAAGTCTAGTGACTTTGCACCTCCTATGAATACCTTTGAGGCTGTAAGCCCACAGGGCTCAACTGGTCCTGTAATAAGGAGAGTCCATCATGGGGAAGCAGGCTTGACTGAATGCAAACGCTCCCAAAATGCGGGGTTTGGGTACCCACAAGAAGGAAGCCAGGAGGGATCTGAGCGCTGCCTACATCACTACTGCAAACAGAGAAACTGGTGAAATAGTCAAGCTGTGATGTCCGAAAAGATCGTTTGTGTTAATGGTCCACATCTCGCAGTTTCTCAGGCAGGAGGTCCGTGGAGAGGCTGCTTTCCTTTTCCTTGCCACAGAATATAGCTGCATCGCAAGAGCTTCACTATGTCTCGAGCTTGTCAAAATTGATGTCCCAGGACCTGTTAGGGAAGGATTCATTGCAGTGACTTTGGACATTCATTTTTTTTTTTTGTTTGAAATTTCTCATTATTCTAGACCATGGCTATATTTAACTGGTAGCCTGCATCAATACATCAGAGAGAGAAAAGTTCACTACAATGTAAGACACACACAAAACCTGTGGAAAATTTTGCAGTGATTCAGTTACGTTGGTAAGCTAGGCTTGAGGTGGGGAAGTTATTTCATTTCAACTAGGCATCAATTGCATCAAAGCACTCTAGTAATATAATATATAACTATCTTAGGGTTTTCTGTTGAGTCCTCAGGAAAAAGACAAAAAAAAAAAACCCAAAAAACTTGGCCATTAGTTTTGAAGACCACAAAACTATGTACTGTATGAACCCAGCTTTTTAAACAATATTTGCAAGGACGCTCAAAACATCTTCACCGTCATTATCGATGATAATGTGTAGGTGTGAGATAAGTTTACTGTGTAGGTAGCTCTGAATCTCTTAAGTGAGAAATCTGTTCTAGGGAGCATTGGGAGCACATTATTATATACCTATAATTACATCTGCGCGGCTCACTGTCTACAGGCCTTTGTCAACTATAGCAAAAAACTGAAACAAAGCTTTCTCTTCTCTGCAGGCTGGCAGATCTCTTGCTCTGCCCGTCTGGTCCCAAATGTCTGAAAATAAATCTCTCCAGAAAAAGCTATTAAAACTGGGGTGCTGGCTGATGCAAGCCTTGTGATATTGAGGTCGGTCTCTTTCCTTTTCCTCTAACTAGTAGTTAGACTTGAAACTTGGAGATAATTTCAAGAGGAAATAAGAACAAGACTTTCCAAGTGACAACAGGACTTGATGTGCAGCATGAGATGCCTTAAAACAGTGGTTCCTAAACATTTTTTTTGGCTGTAACCCTAAATTGGCCACCAACAGAACCTCCCGACCTGGTGCTGCAGGGGCTGCTGCGAGCGGAGCATGGAGGTGGCCCGGGGGCGGGGGAGCTGCCATTGCCCCCCTTGTACGCACCCACCCACCGTTCCCGGGCTGCACATGCGAGTGTGCATGTGTGTGCAGGCCCTTCGTGACCCTGATTTGGGTTGCGCCCCGAGGTTGGGAACCATTGCACCAAGGGTGCATGATCACGTACTTCAGAAAATCTCTCTGAGTACACGTGCAATGCAGACAACCAAGATGCTGTCCTTTTCTTGTCCTTCATGTGTAAAGCCCTAAAACTGTTCATTTGGGATTCCAGATAGTCTGTGTTAACTGCTTTGTTCTTCCTTGAGCTCGCTCACCTTGGGTCATAAACATCCTAATGAGTCCACAGTTAGAATGAAATGGAGCCAGAAGATGACATGCTGATTCTTGGTGCATGGTTTCATTACTGCTGATT